CCCCCCCCCCCACCACATGTTGTAAATGGGGCTCCATATCTCAGATTTCAGTAGCAGACCCCACCCCTGAATTGCTGCCCTCTCTATAGCAGGCTGCAAGTTTGACACCCCTGGCTTAGAGCAGTGGTTCATAGCTATAGACACAGTGCTGGAACTTGAGGTTCCCTTAGCCTCTTGACTGTGTAGTGGTCCCTGCAGTGCTACACTGCTTTCCTTCCTCTTAGAGGGAGTGGCTGCTGGCTTCAGAGCCAGTAGTGCTCCAGGCTAGCTCCCCTACATTGCAAACTCTATTTATCTAAAGCACCTCTGAATGAGAAGCATACAGCTGCTGGGTTTGTGGAGTAATAATTTGGCATGTGTGACCTTCTTAAATGCATGCTGAGGTCCCCAGTAAAGCAAATATGAATGAGTGAATGTTGTGTCTGAGGCACTGGGCTGGGTGCCATAGCAGTGCTTGGAAAGAGAACAGACATCTTCCTGGGGGCAGAATTATTATCACAGTCCTGGGATTGCTTTGATTGTGGCTTCTCTGCACTCTGCCAGCTGCCAAAATGCCAAAGAGTTTACCTGCTTTTTGCAGTCTGCTGCCAAAGAGAACTTCTAGACAGAGAATAATTTGTTCTTCTTTCCTCCTGGCTCACCCCAGCACTTAACAGGCACATTCTCATCCCACCACAGTGTTTTGCCTCTACAAACAGCTATGATGTAGGATCACACTGTTGATTGGTCTAAAATGATCAAGTTAACATTGGCAATAGGTGTTAGAACTAACACCTCACTTGATACAATGGAGTTAGTCACTGTTGGTCTGATTGCGAGTTTGTCTCCACAGCCTTCTGCATGGATGTGACTGCACCTGTTTAAAATAACACATCTAGTTCAATCTCTGTGACTGTAGCTGAGTGCAAGTTTGCAGAGAGTTTCTGTACTGTCCATGTTTGAAAGTCACTGGAACCATTAAGAGCCAGAGGGGATTTTTGGTTTTAAAAAATCCCAGATTTCTCTTACAATTACCACAGTGGGATTACAAATAGATCTTCACAACTAAGGGGCCATGCATGGCAATCTAACCACATCTCCAGAAACTTGGGAAGCATGACCCTATACACTGTCTCCTAGCACCTTAAAGCTGAGGCTCTAAAGGGCTTTGCTGTGAGGTGGGCACTTCCTGATCTTTCAGCTCAACTAACTGAAGCACAAGGTTTCAAGGACTTATTTTATTTTATGTATTTGGCCTTAGGTGGTCTGGGTGCAAGTGCAGAACTCAACCAAATGACAGCGAAGAGTTCTCTGGGCTGTTAGCTGTAGAAGCTTATGCTTCACTGAAACTTAAGGAAACAATGCAGAGGAGACCTCAAGCTTACCTATCTTAAGATTTTATACAGTTTGCAAAACCGATCACAAAGTTCTTAGGATGCTTTGCAGACTCTTTAAGACCTCCCCTTTCTTGAGGAGTAAATTCTGTAAGCTTTATGGTTTGATACAGTTTTAGACTCTTAACTCAGTATTCTAAGGTTGACTTTGTTCCAAGGTAACTTTTCTGAGGTGGCTTGGTTAGAAAGGGGTGTCGGACAGAGCTAGTACCAATGCCAAATATCCCTCCCTGAGCACAGCCTGCTTGCAGCTGAAGCACTCTACTTGTTGATATGTGTCTTACACTCATAGGTACATGGGCCAGAGTCTTGCAGACCTGCTTCTTAGATCCTAGCAAGGCCTTTGTTACCTGTCCTAGGGCAAGTACAGGTAAAAGGGAGCTCCTACTATAGTAGTGGTTAGTGAAAACCCCAGTGTTTGCAATGGATGGGATGGTGCTTAGAAGCCAGGGTAGGAAGTAATGTAGTGATGCCCTTTTAATATTCTATTTACCTGCACTTCTAGTAGTGCCCTCAGGACAATATGCGCCTGTCACAGAACATTCCGCACCAGTGACAAGGTCTGCTGCACGGCAGTTGCAGGAGCTGATGCTGCTTCCCAGCCCCTCACTCAAGACTTCCAATGTGCCAACGAAGAAGAGGAGGAGGTCAGAAATGAGCAGCCCCTCCAAGCCAGGAACACCTCCCACCCTGAAAAGGCAGGCGAAACGCCAACGGAAATCATCCCTTTCTGGCCTAAACAGCAGCTCCATAGAGCAAGTAGCTCTTCCTACAGAAATTCGCAGCCATAGCACCCCTCTTCCAAAGGAAGCCAAGCCATTTCTGTTCCCTGATGATCACATCCCCAAATGCTGCCCATCAACGGTCATCAAAAGACGGGTGCCCTTGGCAGTATCTGCTGCCCAGAACTGCTGCAGTCCATCGGCAGTGACCATCAGAGACCTGAACATGACCTTTGACCTTTCTGAGGATAGCTGTTCATCAGGCTTGACTAAACCAACAAAGTTCAGTGCACCGGAGTTCCCTGGCTGGGAGAATGTCCAGTGCCTCGTAAACAAGCCAGATGACCCTTTAATGCCCAGGTTAGTGCTGCTAATCTCTTGTACATAGGAAATTCTTGCCCAGGTGGCCAAGAGAAGCAGCTGCCTGTCAGTCTGCTTACTTGGCAGCTCAGGGTTTGCACAGGGAAGCCAGGCTGGTGATTTTCAGTTTGACTTCTAGTCAGCCTCACTGTGTAGTTCATCCATGCTTTTGTGACTTGGTCCCAATGCTGTGAGAGAGTTGTTTTCGAGACTCGCAGGCATCCAAAGAGCCCATTCAATCTGATGGGTTGGCAAACACCAGTCCAAAAATGCATGTGAATTACTTACAAAGAAATTGGAGGTTTGAAAGCTGTCCACGTCTCTCCTTTTGAAGCCTGAGATGATCAGCTATCACACATGTTAAAGCCTGTGTGCCCAGTGGCTCCTCCCTGCCACCTCCAGCAGCATCCGGCAGCAGCTGAGCACACAGCCCCAACCTCAGTCCACCCTGTACCCGCTCCGGACTCGCCCCAGCTGGAGCAGACCAGCTGGAACCTATGCACATAGCCCTAACCCTGGGCCACCCCGCACCTGCTCCAGACACACCCACCCATGCTGAGCAGTGGTGCTGCTGGGCTCAGGAAAAACAGCCCCTATACCCTTGCCACTGCTGGGCCCTGCTTGCTGTAACTACCCAGAGCCTGTGCCTAGGCTGTCCTGCAGCTCCTCTCCACTTCTGGGTGGCCAGGAGGTGGTGCTGCTGGCAGTGGTAACAGTGACGGAGAGGAGCCACAGGTCAGCCTGGGCAGCGGTTAGGAAGTGGCAGCCATTTTTGCCCGTGTCCCATTTTTCCCCTGTGCCCAGCAGCCCAGTTCTCACTGCTTAGCATGGGTGGGTGGCACGGGGCATCCTGGGGTCAGGGCTATGCGTGTAGGTCCTGGCTGGTCTGGAGCTGTTCTGTTCCTGCTGGGGCAAGTCTGGGCTGGGCCAAGACTAGGGCCATAGCTATGTGCGTGGGTCCCTCTCAGTCTCCATGGGGCTGGGGCCAGAGGCAGCAGCAGCCAGAAAGTACTACTGCCTGGGCTGCCTAGTACTGGAGTCCAGCTGCGGAGCTGCCCCAGGTCCACTGCATGCACAGGGGCAGCAGGACTAGCCACGGGCCCAACAGCACCTAGGCCCGGCAAGACTGAGGGACCAACTGCAGGCTGGACAAAGTCTTTCCATGGGCTGGATCTGGCCTGCAGGCCGTATTTTGCTTGCCCCTGAGGTGTAGACTCTATTGTGTCCAAAGCACTCCTCAAATGAGGATTAAGAGTGTACATTGCAACTATCTGTGACTTCTGCCTGCACTTCAGAAATATAACCTGTCTTTGTGCTGAGTTGTGTAAATGCGAAGTGTGGTAATCTAAGTGGTGCCTATGAATGTCCATGGTAACAACAGGCCACCCTTCCTAAAACATAATGGGGAAGTGAACAGAGGGGCAGTGTTTTGCTCACAATCACTATGCAAGTTAGTACTAGAGCCATCAATAGAACCAAGGAGGCCTGAACTCAAATGTCTGCCCAAATCTGGCTACTACAACTCTTAGAATTCCATCATAAAGCTTTGCACATCACTTAGCTTGTATGTAGAGCAGCAGTTCCCTGAATGTTTGTGGAGTTGCCTCCTAGATAGTTTTGGTGTAATGTGGCCTGGGACTTTAAAGGACAGACAAAAGTAAAAGGGCCTGAGATCCTATCTATAGGAGAGGGTCTCTAGTGTATGTACTAACAACTTTGTTTTATTCAGGCCTTCTGTACCAGTGTTCATCATGAAGGGTTCTTCTATCCCCCGTGGGAGCATCACAAAGCCATCCTCATCAGTCTCTAAGGTGTCTGGACAGAAGAGAAGGCGTTCTGTGAAGTAAGATCTTGTCTGGAGTAGCCAACCACAGACCAGACTATTTGCTGGTCAACTGTAAACTCCCTCTCTTATCTGGAGAAGCCCAGCAGAAAGTCTCATGTCTGAGGGACCAAGAGAGTATGAAGTGTTCTACTGGTTACTCTTATGCTTCTCTTATGACTTGGCTGACAAAGCCCCCGGCTTGCTGTCTCCCACTGAGTGAAATGATGTGGCTGAAAGATAGGTCTGTGCAAAGCGGTTAGTATTTGATTCGGATTCGGCTGCTTGCGGGGGCAGTGATTTGATTCGGTGATTTGAATCACTGTCCTGATTCGATTTGGCCAGATCTGATTTGGAGATTTGGCAGCAGCCGAATCTCCAAATCAGCCAGTCCAGGCCCATCCCCTGCCCCTCTCCCAGCCCAGCAATGGCTGCCCTGCCCACCCCAGCTTCCAGCACTTCAGGGGGGAAAAGCCCCAGCTCAGCAGGTGCTGCCAGGTGAGGGGCGATCCCCACTGCCCCATGCTGTGTGGGGGGCTCCGCACCAGCCCCCAACCCCCAGCACCCTCATGGGTGCCCCGCACAGGCCAGCTCTAGCCCTTTAAGGAAAAAGGAACCTAAAGAAACCCCAGGACTCACCACTGCTGCTGACAGGAGGTGATCCCCACTGCCCCATGTCAGGCTGGGGGCTCTGCAGGAGCCCCCGAAGCCCCAAGGCTGCAACAGGAGCAGTGAGTCCCAGGGCTTTTCTCCGCTTTTTTTTCGTAAAGGCCAGAGCCCGGCAGGCAGGGCAGCCATGGGGGAACATGGGGAGGGGGGGGTCGAGGGGG